CACATCACCTTTACTGGACACCAACGAGGTCAAGACCATGAATGAGAATTAAATCATACCCACTGAGTGGCAATCGTGTATTCTTGCAAACAGAAACTGGTAACAGCCACATTAAATGCATTTTTTGCAGTGACACTGATGATGAGTGACAGGACTGCAGTGTTTGCTAGAAAAAGCCCACTAACAAAACAACGAAGACTACCCAGTTTATTCTCCAAAAGCTTGTTTTCAGGATTGTAAAATTCAGCAGGCTCAGTGTGTCTGTCTGGTTTAACCAAACAATGCAGTTGAGCTAAGGGCATTACTCTCTACCCAATTTTCATCTGCACAGTCTGAGACTTGTTAGTATTCACAACTGGACTAGCGGGAACAGAGAGGAAGTCATCTGCTACAAACGACTGGATTTCCTGCGGTCAGATTAGACCAGAGATACTGCAAGTTTTCTCTGGATTGGACGTCAGCTCTTGCTGCCTGCTGAAACATGGACAGGTAGCAGAGGTTACAGTCGTAATAAAAAACCCAGAAGAAATTAAAATTTTTCCAAGTCTCAGAAATAGGTTTGACTCGCTTTAATCTAGGAGACAGTAAATAGGCAGGTTTTATGCATTCACTTTCTCTAAATCCCTGCTCAATACTTACGCAAAGAGCATGTAAAATAGAAGCAGCTTGGGGCATGCTATTATGAAGCACAGTCAGGGGATGTAAAAATAATTTATTTAGAGGCTGATGAGGTGCTGCTAGATATTCATGGCCCAAGGTGAGCAATAGAAAACCTGAGCACAAAAATTATTCATTTTAATCCGTAACTTGTCCAAAAGAAAATCTTGTTCCAAGAGAAGATGTTTTAAAGGCAAACCCTGCTGTTTGTTCCCACAGCACACAGAGTTGCTCTGAAGGGTTCACAAAATGCCTCTTCTCCCAGTCTGCCTTGAAAGTTTGAATTCTTAACAGAAACGGGAAATTCTTAGTGAACCACAGACTTGGGTAATATTGTTTTGCAAACTAATGCTTGTGACGAATATTTTACTTTTATACCTCTCTTCAATTCAGGATTGCTCCGTTAACTTGGTAAAATAAACTTTTTTAGTAAGTTTTTGCTGAACTCAGTCTGACCACATCCAGTTCGGAAAGATGTTTTGCTAATATATTTCATGTGCAGGGCAAGTAAGCCACACACATCTCATCAAGCTTAAAAAGCAGCCTGGTTTTGGATGTCAAATTTTAGGTAAGCAAGACATTCACGACACCAGCAATCCCATCTCAAGCCAACCTTGCTTACAACAGAGCACTCGGCTCCTCTGAAAAACAAATTCCTAATGAACAGTGACGAAGAGGGGAGGACAGTGTCCCCTTGAAACATTTATATTGGACATGACTTGCTGCAAGATCTAAACAATTCTTTGGTGTAGGATTGGGCACAGAAAGCCCAGACCCCAATATCCCCAAGTGTCACTCCTCAACTGACTCAAAAATCACACCAACAATGTCAATCCCATCTCCTTCTGTCCATCCATTCCATGGTCAAATTAGCTTCAACATTTTCTATCCCGCATTTGCTATGACGAACAGAAGATTTAAAATACGCATCTCATAGCCCTAATGTGAAAGGAATTTTAACACCTCAGAAAATGAAAAAATCCTGATAAATATTCCAGGCCAACCTGATCAGAAAGGTCCCAGTAACTTTTTATACTGCAAGGAACATGGCAGTATTTTTCATCAGCAGAGAACATCAGAGGAGCAATGGCTACGGCTGTCTGCCTAAAAGTTACTGTCGATCTAAAATATACAAGACACGCTTCTGCAATTCCTTGACAAAGGTGAATGTTTTTTCTCATTATCGAGTAAAACATTGCTAATTTCTTTGCCTTCTCTAATCATCATGTCAACGAAGAGGTGAATGGAGTCTGGGCATGGACTGCTAAATGTTCACTGTAATTACTCAAGGCTAATTTAGCAGAAGATTAAACTGGCCAAGTCCTGTAGCCTGTTTCCAGCTCATCTCCTAGAATTTCTCAGGAAAACATTTGCAACACAATTATTCTGCAACCCAGAACTACACGTGGAAAAATTTCTTTCCATCATCCAACTCCGAGCTCCCCAAGTTCTGAAGAACCTGCATTGCTCTTCCTCTGGTCTCTTCTGAGAAAAATGCTCAAACTAAAAGCTAATCTTCATTTTTAAAAAGCAATTCCTCTATGTCTGATGCTCAAAATCCTCCACGACATTAGAGAAGCACATGGAACATTATTAAATGTCGTAAACAGAGAGCTATGATTGAGGGAGGGAGCAATTAGCCTTAGAAGAGAAACTCTCTGGAAAAGCAAGTACCCTGAACAAGAGAGGGGGAGGAGAGAGAAATACCAAAGGTATATGAACCAGAAATACCCATGGCTCTAGAAATAATGTTTCATAAAGAGTTCACTGAGTTATCAGCTAATTTCATCAACTATTTTTTCATAGTAAGAACAATTTTTAAAACAATTGCCTGAAGACACAGGACTGCTACAAACATAAGATGTCCTTGAAAGGAAGTTGGCCAGACAGTCACAAAAATCTTGGTTCAGTGTTGGAATGGACCGTGAATGAATTCACCCTAAAGCTGGGAGAATTTTCAAGAGATTCTACAACACCAATAGGGTCTTTTTTTTTGTTCCTCCCAGCTATGAGATGATAAAGGGCAGAAACGGAACATTTCACTGAGAAATGGAGCCACAAACACTATGCTTCAACTAGCTCTGTGCCAGGGCCCTGCTTCCTCTGCAACTTATTTCCTGGAAATTGGGATGTTAAGGAAAATGTACTTACGAGAAGGCAAAGGCCACCAAGGCCCCACTGACCACAATGAAGTCCAGGATATTCCACAGGTCACGGAAGTAGGAGCCAGGGTGGAGTAACAGCCCCAAGTCAATCATCTTCAGAGGAAACACATCAAAAGAGTAAGTTTTAATAAGTACCAAACCAACACTACCAAGGTACAGAGGTATGTCCTTGATCAAGACCCTTCACAAACTCTTCATCAGGGCATCACAGCAGCAGGGGAACATCTAGATACTCAGTCAAGCTGTGTCTCTAACAGGCACAGAGAGCTCTGTCAAAACCAAAGCTGAGGCCAATAAACCATAACCAAAAGCATGAGAAACAAGCGTACTAACTGCTACACAGGATTCTTTTCACAGACATGCATTAATTTATTAATTTCCACACAGCAGTCTGTGTGTCCAAAATAGTGCAATAGTCCAGAATAGAAATGTCCAAATAGTCTAGTTTTATTCTACCCCAATCCTACCAGATTAGTAGCAATTAACAACTGGCATAGGATATTACACAGTAAAACACAAAGAGAAGATGGGAAGACCCACAAGGAAACACAACAGCCAAAGAAATATGCTTGCTCCGGAGTACTTGCTGAAAGATGCTGCTCAGCGTGGCAGCCTGGCTTGCTTCTGTACGAGACTGAGTCTCTCCTTACAGTGCTGCTAAAGATCTTCCGGAGTTGAATTTCAAAGAGCGTGTTAGACATTTTATCTGCTTTTCTGAGAGCCAGTGTAAGGTTGCTTTCCTCACATAGCTTCAAAACCTTCTTCTATTAAACGAACAAGGGAAAATCTGTTTTTCTTTCTGCATCTCTTTTGCATCTTGCTCTGACAGTAAAAACTAACTCCATCATTATCCCAGGAATAAATCCTGACTTCATTAGAATCGTGCGTTCTGAAAAGTTACTGCCCCACTGCCCCCACAGCAAGACCTATCACTCTACTAAGTAAAGTAAAAAGATAAACCCTCAGCCTTTTGAAACACGACAGACCAAGAATCAGTTGCTATTAATATTCCTGATCAGCATCAGAGGAGAAGGGGAGAGTCAGATGTGTCTCAGTAAGGTCTATCGGCTCCTGTGTCCTTAACCACACACGGACATTTCTGCATCAGGCACCCATGTTTCTTATCGTACACAGACACAGCTACTAAAGATATCCTTATTTTCCTCTATAAAATGTGAGATTAAAGAAGCCAGGAGAGCTGCTACAGAAAGGCAGCTGTGCACTGGCTACTGCCAAGTGCTGTCCATGAGTTAAAGTTTTCCATCCTCAGCCCCTCCGTAGGCACCCCAGGGAGATCTGTCGTGCTCCACCCTCTTTCTCCGTCTTCCCAGAAACAGATGAGTGTAAATCTGAAAGGGCAGGTGAACCTTTCTGCTTGGAAAAACTCTTACCTTGATCACCATCTCAAAGGTAAAGACACCCGTAAAGATATAATCCAAGTATTTCAGAGCCTGAATGGGAAAGAGAAATGCGTATTAGGGGAATATATATCTATAGGGGAATATATACACTGAAATAATCTGCACATGAGCAAAGATCTCTTCTAGCAATGGCCTATTTGCTACAACGGGTAAGTATCATCTCATGGGAAGCTTTCAAATAGTTTAGGCACAAACTTGAATAACCGGATTTAAACAGCAACATTTTTCCAGTCCTTGCCAGACTGCGGTATGCACGCCCATGGGCTGCTTCAGTGCACCTGCATATATGGCAGGTTTAATAAGGCAAAATGGGTATTGCAAATCGAAATATTTGAATATCCTTTCCTAAAGAGCTTATTTGCCAGCATCTGTGTAGCAGCCTGAGTTTCTCTTCTGCTGTAGCTGATGATAGTATTATTAAAGACCTCAGGAGAGGAAGAGAGTGATAAAATCCTTTTTGTAAGACTGCACAGTTATTAAGGATGAGGAAGAGAGATTGCTCATAGCTACTTCTGCTCATTACTGATATAGGGATTCGTGGATCCTCCTCTGGAAAAAGCTAATACTGACCAGAGTGAGAAGCAGGAGGTCAGGCCAGGCAATTCCTGCTCTACCTGCTCTTGGTCTGAAGCAATTCAGTTCCTTAATCTGTTAAAGGGGTGGATGAACACAGACTCCTCAGCACACATCCTGAAGAGTTAACCAATCCATTCAAATATCTACAGACCTCCTAAATTTTAAGATAATTCTGTGGATGGGAAGCACCTATTCAGAGCCAGGTTCATATGATAGTATGCAGTGAATGGATATTAAGTCCATATAAATATCACACGATAGCTGCATACTGCAACTATCTACACTGAGGAGTCCAAAATTAGGCCAGTGCATCTTGCCATTTCTATCCTTAATCTTCAGTTCTGTGGACTCCCAGTTGTCCACGTAACGGGCTGTAACCAGCTCCGTGCCAATGTCCTCACGTCAACATGCTTGAAAGCAGACACCCCGCTATCTGCCGAGCGACCGCTGCAGGGCTGCATGCTCCCAGGTGGAAGGTGGCACAGTCCTACTTCTGCGCGCAACAGCACCGAAAGTCTCTGAGTTTGGTTTGATGTCCACGGCTAAGTAGATTTTCTACTCATTCTAGAAGATTGCCACCATGCCCCACTGAGTTAACAAGCCACATCTCGTTCTACTGCCCCAGGCTCTGCTCTAGCAGCAGCGGGGAGAGTGGGGAGTCTTAGGGCAGCGTCAGCCCTGGGTGCGCCTGGGGAAGCCTCTCCCACTGCTGGACGGTGTGGAAGCTTTTCAGGCTGCTTCCCCGGGAGTCACACCAGCCAAACCACCAGTGATTTCTGGGTTCTCAGGCTCGGCTGTGGTTGAAGCAGCAGAAGGGGATGGGAATTGTGAGCATTTTGGTAATGGAACAAGTTAGTTTGAGTATGTTATTGAAGAAAGCTCCAGCTTTGCACCTGCCAGTGCACCCCATTATCCTTTGGGGATGGAAACGGACACTCCATGTGCACAACTGCTGGGCCAAGCAGAACAACTTTGTTCTGTTTGTGTCGGTTGGTACTCACATCGTTCCTCGGCGACTCTGCTTGGACAGGGTCTTCTGCAGCCAGGGCAATGCTGCTGAGGGCTATAACTATGAGGATGACCATCTCGAAATAGCGCAGGTTGACGATGTAGTGGAACAGACGCCGAATCCTGCAAACAGAAGTACATGGGAGGGCTACTGCAGGTGCTGCAAGCCAGCCGCGGTGGTGTGAGAGACTTGCAGAAGGACAACGCTGATCAGGAACATCACCCTTAGGATGTCTCTTACAATAATGGTAAGAAAATAAAAAACAAGATCAACGGCTTTAAACTTGTTTGCAACAGACTTGTGGTGAGATTTAAAGTAAGAAATTTAACATCTCTGCACTGCTCTCTACCCCCTCTGCAAAGCAATGATATCTATCGAAAGGGCATCGCGAGCTTTCAATTATTCAGACTCAATTCTACAAATTATGTTTATATACCCCCCCCATCCTTTTCACTTTGAAGTCACAGGCTAAAGTCCTGTGAGTTCAAAGCTAGTTTTGAAATCCTTTTAATATCAACTAATCCCTTTAAAATTGAGATATATGCTATGCACTTTGAGACTCTTAGCTGAAACTGGCTTCCTAACTACGAGTATTACTTCTAGCAATTTCTCTCGCCAAGTACCTCTGCCTGTACTTTATTCTCAGATATGTTTTAGAAGCTGTGCAAATACTTTACGGTAATATATTTGATTACTTTAATCTAATTTTTGCTTCACAAATTGTGTCCAAGAAAAGTGACAAATGCTTCAATTTCTAAGCAATGCAAAAGTATTCACAAATTTCGCCTAATAACTCTATCTGACCACAATTCACAAATACTTAACTGCACAGAGAACTCTACATTTGCATCATATTTGTCAACTGAATAAAGGATTTAGGTTCTGCCTGGGAATGAAATTATGTGTGTAACTTGCCAACAACCTTGTTATCTGAGAATGTAATTCAGCTGCTATATCTCATTTTCTCTAAGCAAATATCTGAACAGTTAGAATTAAAATTCATTTTTCATATCTACTTGTATATTCCTTTTCTCTGGATCGCTAATGGAATCAGAATGAAAAAGAATAAAAAATACCAAGGAAAGAGATTTGATACGAAATAACATGAAGAAACGTGCTTTTGTGGATCCCTTAGCTCTGGTTATCAATCTGACAGAAGAGGATTATCATCTTTGTGCTCTGTGAATCCATAGAAGTGAAAGACAACATTTTCAATACCGTTTGTAACTGTAATTCATGCATCAAACTCAATTCATCAAAGAAATAACAAGTCACTGTTTTTAGATGTTCATCATTCATAACCAGCAGTGAGATGCGGGACCATTTGTAAACTGCCAGGGGTGCTTGTGAAATCCTTTTAAATGCCTGTCTGTTTTAAGAGGGCGAGTGGCACTTGGAAAGTAATACAGTTCATTTATGCTTCTCAGAAGTGTTTTGCCCACTAGCAGCACCCGGGTCGTGCATCCCCAGCTGGGCTTGGAGGGGAGAGAGTTAGCGATAGATGCGGTGAGGACCTTCATAACCCAGGAATTGGAAAGACCTCTCTTGAGAAGTTAGCAGCAGCCAAAACAGCTGAGGGGATCCAGCTGGGTCTGCATCTCACCCAGAGGAAGAAAAAACAAGTTGCTGACATTCCTAGAATTTGGTCTTTGTCTTGTCATATCCCCTTGTCCCTGTGTTATAATATCTCCCTCCCAGTGAACTCTGGTTTTTCAATGGTCCTTTAGTACAGCTTTTGGGTGACAGAGTGTGTGTGTGTCTGCTGGAGAAAACTGCAAGACGACTGAAACAACATACCAAATCTTGGATTGTGAAGCTCAGAAGGTTGTACCTGTAGGATGAGGTAAGAGAAGACAGCATATGTATGAAACAAAAAAGTCTTGCTGCTTCTCAGTCTGCCCAGTCCACTCCTCGGCTCAGACCCTTCTGGGCTTGGGACCGTCTAGCTTCCCACTCTGCACTGCTGCCTTTAGCATTTTGCAGTTAGCACTTATTTTTAGTGGTCACTCCACAGCAAAAAGTCTTGAGCTACCCAGTATTAGGGAAAATACTGTTTCCTTATCCAACCAGACAGGGACCAAGTTCCATAATTCAAATTTGCCCCAGAAAGTGTAATTACACTATGAGTGCACCTCATCTAATGCTCTCCCCTCCCCTTAACTGCCTTTTAGATGAATTCAAAGGACATGTTGCCTCGTTTGAAATAGCACAATGCTATCACAGTGTTCTGAAAAGGGAAAACTTTCTGGGTTTTCGGCTCAGTTATCCTCATGTCCTGAGGTCTACCTGGCAGGTGGCTGGAGAAGGCAAAGGGCAAACACAAGTGTCTCTCTTGTGGGTTTGAGACAGAAAGGGCACGCATTGAGTTTTCAGTTCATTTCCTTTGGAGACGCGAGTAGATCAGCAACACTTTGGGGTCATTCATCCTCTCTACCAGCTGCACTGAGAGACAGTCTCTAACTTCTCCCATGGATTAATTCCTTCTGTGCTCACAGCTATATCATCTTGGAGCACGCAGGGCTGTAGCCTGAACCACGCTGCTGGCACTCATGTTCAAGGAAAGCATCCAGCCTGCCTAGTGTCCAGGGGAGCCAGAGCATGCCTTCCAGCACGGATGCATTTCCGATGTCAAAGATGAGTACATGGAGCAGCCCGCTTTGTTCCACCAACTGCGCAGGCAGCCAGGACGTCACAGTCCTGAGTAGCAGGAGGTGTAGCAGCACTCATTCTTCTCTTGAATCGAGCTGCCAAAGGAAGGGCCTGAGTCCCCCTTGGGTATCTGAGCGTGCAGGGTACAACCTAAGAGAGCAACATCTAGGATCTGCAATAAGTCTATCTGAGCCAGAGAGGAACGATTACAACCTGCTCCTAGCAGATCTCTGGGTTGGCAGAAGTTCCAAACACCCTCCGTTGCCCTAAGTTACCACTTAAAATGACTCACAGGCCTTCATGCTACAATTATTACAACGTCTGCTGCTCTTGTCTAGTCCTGCAGCCCTTCAGAACGACACATTCAGTATTTACAGGCTTTGAGTACAAAGCTCCCCATAAGGCAGAGATGCCTGAAGCGGAAGAAATGCTGTAATCCCAACAGATCCCACAAGCTGTACTCTCAGCCTTTGCAAATGAAAAATATTCACGTCTTCCCAGAAGTTCAAAGTTTTCAGGAATGCAAGGGTACTAGTATGGAAAGAGCACAAATTCCAGCTGAGAAACCTGCAAGATTTTGCTGACATCAAAAACACCTCCCAGGCCGCTTCTCCCGGTAACGTCTTCTCCCAGTGAAGTTCCATACTCCCACCCTTCAGTGATCTACGACTGAGCGAATAACTGCCCACCTGACCGTCAGCAGGGCAGTCAGGAAGGGTCTACCAAAAGCATCAACTTTTCCCTGTATTGGCAGTTTATTCCTCTAGGAAAGCCTGACTTGAAGGCAGCGTTTGGTCTGCAGCCTACATAAGGTTTTCTTTAATTCCCCAATGTGTTTGACAGGCAGAGATGAAGATCAAGCTAATGTTATTGCTTTGAATACCCATGCCTGAAGTACCCGCAACCCATGAGCGACATTATAGGGTCAGAGGACTTACGGATTTGTAGGACTTAAGATGAACATGGAACTGTAAGGCAAGATTGGTTTAGGCCCATTTTTCGTCAAGTCATCGACGTCTTTCTTCTCCTCGGCTTTACTTTCAAACTCAATGTTGTTCACTGAAACGTGAATTTACGGAAACAAGAATGAGAGAGTTAAAAATGTATCTGCAGTATTCACACAGCAGGCTGTCTGCAACAGCTGGATATGCAAACAATGCAGCTGGGATAGCAAACAGCCTGTGAATATGTTGATTAAATATGATGAACAATGATTTGATTATTATCACTGCTATTTGCTACAGTATGATACACGGTGCAATTATACTCCTGAACTGCTGCACTGATGAGCAATATATCAGAAATGGCCAGGAAATGAAGATGCCCAGTGCAGACAAGCAGAGAGACCTTACATTAGCTGCTGTCAAACTGGGGATGGAAATCCCATTCCAAATATCATAAACTATTAGGGAGAGAGGATTAGTTAGGGATCCTTGGAGAGAAAAAAAGGCAGTAAGTCTAATCAACTGCATAATTCTGTATCTGCTTCCACAGATCAGTAACGCGATTGGCTTTGGAACTTGTAAAATGGCAAATTCATAGATGAGCTTTAATAATTTTGGAGCTAAGACTGCTGAACTTTGAGCATTAGGAACTTGGGGCTTCTTGGACCCCCGAGCTCCGTGCCTGCATAGCGCATCCCAGTTTTGGCAGAGCTCCCCATGTATAAAGGTGTCGAGCTCCATCGCACAACAGGTTTTTAACTTATGCTATTCCCTTCTAGAAGATTGTTCTGAACCTCACTCCCAAAGGTTAGAAATACATTCTCTAATTTCAATCATAAGTTTACTTGCAGCAGGTTTATAGGATAATTTACTTCAGATAATTTCCGATATAAGAACTGGAAAACATTTTATGCTGCAAATTCTCCTCTTAGACAGATATGTACACTTGACTATTAATTCACAGAACCTAGAATCCAAAACCCCACCCACTTACAATGTGTTAGGTGCAGGTTTTTTATTGCTTTTTATTTTATTTTATTTTGCAATAGAATGACATTTCATTGTGTGTGAGTGACATGTTGAATAAACTCCTTACTGTATCTCAAACCAGATACGCAGGAAATGGCCAGGAAGGAGAGAGGCTGATAAATTGTGATTGACGGGAACTCAGTATTGCAATATAGTAAAATTACCATTTAAGAAAAGAAGAAAAGAAGAAGAAAAGAAGAAGAAAAGAAGAAGAAAAGAAGAAGAAAAGAAGAAGAAAAGAAGAAGAAAAGAAGAAGAAAAGAAGAAGAAAAGAAGAAGAAAAGAAGAAGAAGAAAAGAAGAAGAAAAGAAGAAGAAAAGAAGAAGAAAAGAAGAAGAAAAGAAGAAGAAAAGAAAAGAGAAACGATCAAAAAAGAAAAAAGAAGGAAAAAGAAAAAAGAAAAAAGAAGGAAAAAGAAAAAAGAAAAAAGAAGGAAAAAGAAAAAAGAAAAAAGAAGGAAAAAGAAAAAAGAAAAAAGAAGGAAAAAGAAAAAAGAAAAAAGAAGGAAAAAGAAAAAAGAAAAAAGAAGGAAAAAGAAAAAAGAAAAAAGAAGGAAAAAGAAAAAAGAAAAAAGAAGGAAAAAGAAAAAAGAAAAAAGAAGGAAAAAGAAAAAAGAAAAAAGAAGGAAAAAGAAAAAAGAAAAAAGAAGGAAAAAGAAAAAAGAAAAAAGAAGGAAAAAAAGAAAAAAAGAAAAAAAAGAAAAAAGAGACAAGTGTTGTGGGGCTGACAACACAGTGAAAAAACGTGTAGAGAAACTGCTAGCTTTCAGCTGTGCCTCTTGGAAAGCAGAGTCCCGGCAGCCTGGGACCTAACGTGGACCCC